TTTTTTACTTTTTTAATGCATTAGTGCTATTAGTGGTGATATTTTTAGTGGGATGAATCATTGTTGTGGTTATAATTGGAATATGTGGTATGTGAAATGAGATAAATAATACCTAATTAAATTTATAATTGTGTATATTGACAATTAATGTGCACTGAGATAAGTAAATGCGTGGAAATAAAATTATCCTAAACTGACACGAGTCTCAAACTATAGGGACTGTTAGTGTAATTCGCCCAATAATAAAAAGGTTAATTACACTTTTTATCTTATAGTTTGACCCAAATTTCATCTTATAGTTTAACTCAAATTTCATTTAGTTTCTATAGTTTCAATTTGATCATTTCGTTTAAATTTTTATTAATTTTATCTACGTATACACCTAGAAAATTGACAATTCTCCAAATTATTAATTTTAACCTTTAATTTAGACAGAAAAACCAAATTGAATCCTTAAAAAATTACAAATGTCCCCAAATTGTTAATTTTAACTGGCAATTTAGACATAATGACTAAATTAAAACTAGAGTTAAAAGTGTAAATTGAGGGATTAAAGTTAAATTTGAGTCAAACTATAGAGATAAAAAATATAATTAACCCACAATAAAAATAACAAAATCATCTTTTATACATTGAGGATTTTTATATAAATTTATAAATTTAATTAGAACCAATTAATGTTACCACTACATTGCTATACAAACAAATTTAATTTATCTTACATTTCTAATTTAATATTACTATATTCATAATTTCTCACTCAGTCTTACATTTTTTTTTTGGATGCTTCGTAAAAACTCACTAAATCTTACTGTATTCATAGTCCTGCCAACCTAACTCTAAAACAAAAAGGACCTAACATCAAACTTCTCCGCCTTATGAATCCCAATCAATTAATAGGACTTTCATAAATTTGTCAAAAAGATTTAATAAGTCTGTAGAACCTAATAGTAATTTACTTTTATTTTTATTTTTGTTTTGTGTGTGTTGAGTAAAGCGATGGGAAATTATTTATAAATATAAAGTGAATTACATTAAATTGCATAATCAATTATGAAAATAAATAAAAATAAAGGGTTTTACTCAAAAGTTCTATGCGAAGTTTTGAGTATGTAGAAATGATAATAACTTATTCAACAAAGTGTCAACAGGAAATTATACAATGTTTTCGGAGTACCACGTGCTTGTAGTCCTTAACCAATTATCATTTAATATACTCTTTATGTTTTCCAATCACTTAATACAATACTCCATTATCCACTTTCACCGCCAATTACAATGCTATGAAATACTACATATTTATACTCCGGAAATACTGAGACAAGTAGCTGAAAGATCATAGTTAGATAAAGGAGTTTGAGACCCACATAACCTGAAACACTTTAATCTTACAATCACACATGTAATGGAAGATAAAGCAAATACTAAATATATTATTAGGATCACAGATGCAAGGAAGGAGGGCCACAACACAAGGATGAAATCAGCCGATGAAGATGATGGAAGGATCACAGCAACACTCATCAATGAGGCAACAGCAACATAATGCTGCAAGACTGTAAATATCAAATTCAACCCCATTACAAATATACACCCACATAAAAACACAAATTCCCAAGAATAAAAAATAAAAACTAATATTCATGAAATCACACTAGTGTGTTAGAATGATGTCTTGGCACTTTGCTGTTAAGTTATAAGCTGTTGCTAAAATAAATTTTGTTTGGTATATTTTTAATTTTTTTAGCTTTTTAAGTGATTTTTTTAAATGGTTAAAAATGATTTTTTTTTTTTTTTTTTTTTTTTTTTTTGGCGAGAAATGTGCATGACAACTATCTACTATTAAATTTTTTTTTTAATTTATTTATAGCAATATGAACTTATAAAAGAAGGGCAAATTGCACTTCAGGTATGTTTTTTAAAAAAATTACTAATGGTAAATTTTCTCAATTTCAATTAGTAAAGTTATAATTTTTTTTTAAATAAATTTGTAAATATTTTTTGAAATACTACTGATTTACAATTTTCTCATAAAAAAACAAGAACATGAGATTCCGGCCAATGCAAAGCTTGAAAATAATTAATTGTACCTAGTCTTACATTGTTACTTAAATTTTTTATAAAAGATTAAACGTATAGAAATGAAACCAAATATGGATAATATAGAGACTCACATTTTCCCTTATTATGAAATAAATGTAGTCAGTTTTTTGTTTTTGTTTTTCTTGAAAGCAATCACAGAGAGAGAGAGAGGGAGAGAGAGAGAGAGAGAGAGAGTAAATGTTGTTTTGGGGGAGGAGGGAAAAGGGTAGAGGGAATTACATTCCTTCAAGGAAACCGGGTTCTCTCCTGGGCGGTGGTGGAGGAGCATATTGTGGTGGTGCCATTACTGGAGGCCCTTGGTAGTAACCTGAGGAAAGAGATCAACCCAACAAGACTACTAAAACCCCCCCAAAACAATATAGAGGATACAAAATTGACATATAAATTATAATTTCCCTGTTGTAAAGTACTAAATAAGTAACAAATACAAAGAAAGTAATTCTCAATTTAAAAAAAAAAAAAAACAGATTAGAAGAACCGAGATGAAAAGTTTAAACTGGGAAAAAAATCTTACTAGTTCAGGAAAAAAAAAAAGTAATTTATAAACCCATTGTGTTGAACTCTCTAAAATTGATTTCAAGAAAATGTGGAGTGATAAATGAAAAATAAATAGTAAAAAAAATAGAGATTGGGGTGTACCTTGAGCAGGGTAGGGATAGGCATATTTTGGGTCATTCATCTCTCTGTCTCTCTCACTCGCTGTTCTTTTCTGCCAAAAGAGAAATATTAGGAGAAGTTTTTTTTTAAAAAAAAATGGAAGTGAGAATTTGAGTAGAAGAGAAGATGGGTCTGATCTGATATACTAGTAGAATAGTCATATATATGCATGATGATGTGGAAATAGAGTTGGTATACTCACTCCCTCACACACACGCACCGACTTCTTGCGTCAGCTGGCCATGGCACACCTGTTAAGAGTGGTTTTATTCATTTTTATTTATTTTACCTTTCTTTAAAGTTATATTCTTTCGCATTACTTTTTTTTCTTTTTTTTAAATATATTTGTGAGGATCTGTTTGGTACAATTTATATTTATAATTATTAAAAAATATTCAAACATTTTCTTATTTGGGAAACTAGAAGATGGATATTTTTGGACTATGTGTTTAGCTTTTAACTTGCAGTAATAATATGTAGTAATATATTTTTTTTATATCTATGATCTTTATAATTTGTTTTAAATTTTATTATGATCTCTCTAATTTTATTAGTGATTTTTTCTGTTTAAAATATTAACAACACATTACATTACGGAGGAAGCAAATTGTAATAAAACTAAGAGGTGGTTTGGCATTTCCTATATAATCCATCTTTTTATCTTCTTTTCATCACATCACTTCTCTATTTTTCTACATATTTTTTTTATAAAAAGATAAAAAATACACTTATTTAAATCATCCTAAACAACCCCTAATAATATTAAGTTACTCAAATTAAAGGGATCAATTATAATTCACCTTTTTCTCACTCGCTTTGCTGCTCTTTATTGTGAACCTTTTTTTCTTTCTTTCTCTTTCTTTTGTTGTGTTTGCTTTGCTTTTTCCGTTTTCTTCTTTCCTTTTTTCTTCCCATAGAAATTTTTATATTCAAATTGGGAACGCGGTTTCTACTTTATAAAAAGTCATACAAAAGGACAACATATTCCTTGTGTTTAGTGAAAATGAGTATACTTTAATTTTTATAGAATTTAATTATACACACTATCATATCTTACTTATTTTTAATTATGTTATTTTTTTTAATTATGATTGCTTTTTTTTAGTTATAATATTATTTTAAAATATTTGACTACGATTTTTTCGTGTTTAGTTATGACTTTTCTTTTTAATTATGACTCAAAAAAATATAAAATTATGTTATTTTTTTTTATAATTATAAAGTGCATATCTTTTCGTTTATTTTCAACTAACTACGGGTTTGGTTGAAAATATGGAGTCCCTGATGTTTGTTTTGTGGCGCCAAATCATTTGTTGTGGCTACCAAATTGCAATTGTCAAGATGTCTATCCAATTTAGATCTTGTTTAGGAACTTAAGCTTTTAAGCTAAAAATAACTAAAAAAAAGTCAAGTCCCAAACCCCGCTTAGTAGTGCATGTCAAATGCCTAGGAAAATAAATAATTGGTTAGGCTTTGTTGTCCTCATAATTAACCACTAAATAAACAATTATATCCCATATTTCTTTTCAAATTTGCAATGGCCATACATGGCCAGGAATGCTCAAAGATAGAGTTTGCTCCTGACTGTTAAAGAGAGAAAATAAAGGTGATGATTTAGTGGGTCAACATTTTTCAAAAAAAAAAGAAAAAAATATGAAAGAAAGAATGAGAAAGACGGAGGAAGTTGCCTCAGTATTTCAAAAGAGGTGATGGCTGTAAAGGATGTGACCATTGGTGGCTGGTGATAAAGAGAAGAGAGAGAGAGAGAGAGAGAGAGAGAGATATGAGAGTTGGCCAATGAATATAAACCTGCAGAACTAGTACTACCGATCAGAATTACATCCCTAGATAGGAATGTTTGAGATTAATTAGGATAATTAGCATTGTAGAATGATTGATTCTACAACAAAAAAGGACATAAATTTCTAAAGATTAGAGTTTGAAAATTCCGTCTTTTAAATGTAAAAGGTGGGTTACAACTGGAGTGGTTGACAAAAAATAAGATAAAGAAAGAATTTAGGCATTGTTTGAGAAGTTGGTTTTGGTAGGTTAGGGGCTAAAATAATCACAAAAAATAAAATAGGTTATTTTAGCCACAAAAAATAAAATATCAAATTCAATCTATAATCATTATACTCCTCTCTCATAAAAAAAAGTCAAAAAAGTCAAAAAGTTCTTCCCAAATCAAACTTTTTAGCCACAAGTAAAAATAGTCAAAAAAACTAAAAAGTCAAAAAATCAACTCACTTCCCAAACGGAGGCTTAATTTGTATTTCGCAAAAGGAATCTACAAAAGTGGAACTAGGCACACACAAATGTTAAATATGTCATCCAAAATACTTCTTCTCCTTTTTTTTTTTTTTTCTCAATAATATCAGCATTGAATAACTAGTCCATGTGAGATTTGACTACTAGTATTTTGAAAAATAACTTTATTTATAAAAAGATGTATAAAAAATTAAAAAATAATATGATCAAAAAAATTAAAAAATTAACTTTTAACTAACTTTTTAAAATAGGCCTATTAACCCTTTCTTTTCAACCACACGACTAAAACCACAGACCTCTTACACTTTCGTAGGTGTTGTTTGGCAAATTGATTTGTGGTTAAAATAGCTACAAAAGATAAAATAGGCTAGCCACAACAAACAAAACATCACATCCAATCCATAATCATTACACTCTTCTCTCACAAAAAAAAATCAAAAAATCATTTCTAAACTAAATTTTTTAGCCTAAGATAAAATAACCAAAAAAAATTAAAAAACCAAAAAGTCAACTCACTTCCCAAATATAGGCGTAGTGTTGTAATGTAACGCCCTCAAAATAATAACAATAAACCCATCAGATAAGACATGCATTTGCATATAAACTAACCACATTCTTTCATTCATTGGAGTTCCATTACATAAGTATTACATGTTAACCTCATAACAAAATGCCCTACGGGCTTACAGCTTTCCAAGTTAACACTTGGTTACAACAAAGAGTTCTAACTCGTTTACACATTAAGCCCTTGGCTTAAAATTACATGTAATACATCAACAGTAAAACGACAAAACTATGTCCGCCACTAGCCTCCCAGCTATGTCCTTGGAGGTGGCATGCTTCCTGCACCTGAAAATGATATTCCCATATAGGGTGAGCCACAGCCCAGTAGAAATACACTAAACCAACCATGGACAATGACTAAAACATTAGCAATTGATAGTTGGTCAACACTGATACAATCACATAAATAACATATTTATGTCAACGACTTACAAGTCCAAATTACTTTTCATTTTCCCTTTAACAACAGATAAGCATACTAGTAGCTCTATCATTATTTCCACAGATATTGGGATGACGAAACTCCCGGATTGGCCCTCGAGGCCTGCACAGACTGAGCTGACTGAAAACCCTGCGTCTGCCTAGAACCAGACGCTCCCGAAATGGCACTCAACTGTGGGCAAAACCTCTTCAGGTGCCCAGGCTGACCACACTGATAACAAGACAAGGGC